CCAGCCATCCCTGAGCTTGTCTTCCACCCTATAAAAACCCCTCTAGAGCACCTTTAGCATCCCTTTACTGCTTTTAAGGACCTCCCTGATATCCAACACTTCCCATCTCTGTCTGTGCCGAGTGTGACCCCAGGAGAGGTTGAGCATCCAAGGAGCTACTAGAAAGGCAGAAAAGCCGCTGGAAAGAGTGAGCTTTGTTGCAATATGAAAATCAAATGCAAAGCTCGGTGGGTATTTTTAGCTGGTTTAGGCTGCACAGGTGTTTGAAAGGTCAGTGGCGAGTCATTGGAAAAAAATATCTATTTATTTCTGTGTGTGGGGAGAACCTGGTGTCGGTCCCGTGGCTCTGGATGACTGGAATCGCATCCTCAGCTTGGGTTGCTTGGCATTCCTGAGGCTGGTAGAGGTGTGGGAGCGCAGGAATGTTCCAGTTTTGTGTGTCCCCAACAGCATGAGCACATGGCAGCCGTGAGTGTCCACCTCTGACATACACAGGGAGCTGTGGCTTTTTCCATTAATAAAATCTGGGAGTTTGCTCCTTTTCAAGGAATAAAGGCCACTTGTCATCCTTAAAACAGAATTGCATGGGGGTTTTTATGAGCTCCTAGAATTTAAGAGCATGGAAAGGGCCTGGCTGGTGATGTGGCTGTGGTGGGCCTGGCCCATGGCCAACGTGGGCTGAGGCCAACCTGAGTTTGGTGGATCCGTGACCACTTTGGGCTTAGCCACAACCAACAGACCATGACCGCCTTTGTCCTGGCCAGGAACACCTCGGACTTGGCCTTGCCCAACCTAAACTGTGACCACCTTGGATTTGGCCACAGCCAGTGTGTGGGCTGTGGCAAGCCTGAGCCTGGCCATGGCCTAACTGGGCCAGGAACACCTTCGAAGTGGCCATGAGCTCCTTGGAGTTGGCCATTGCCAACCTGGCCCTGGCACATGCCAAGGGCAAATCCCAAGAGAAGGGCAGCACTTCCCCTCCCGTTGTGCCACCAAGGTCACTGGGTTCAGGCAGGGCACGAGCTCCTCCCAACCTGAATCACAGCAGGGTCACGTCCCAGGTGTGACAACTCACCCGGACACATCCATGAGCTCCCAAATTCCAACAGGACCACAGAGCCACCAGGAGAGCAGAGCCAGCAGCTCCACAGGCTTGGCTGGGCAATTAAACCTTTTTTTTTGTGAGTTAAAGAAGCCCCCAAAATAGCACCTGAAACCAATAAACTTCCCTTTCAGGAACTTCTGTAATTTGAAACACACTCAAGAACAAAACAAAACAATCCAGAATTTTTTTTAGGTTGTTTATCAAGTAGGACTTGGTGAGGTTTTTTTAAAATCCCTTTCACATAGTGACTGCTGAGGAAGTGGAGGGATAGGAAGGGCTGGAGGGACAAATGAGATGGAAGGTCCAGGCAGAAGGTGGAATGGGAATTCTCAGGAACAGATTTTAAAGTGTAAAATAAAAAACTGCCATGTGAAATAATAAAAGGGAAAAAACAGTGATGCTCCATAACAAAAAACAATGTTAACAAATGCATTAAACAATAAAATAAAAATAAAACAAGACACAAAGCATAATAAAATAACCCTCAAAACTTCTTCAATGCCAGTGAAAACCAGCAGGGGACAAAGAAGTGTATGGAAGATGCCCATCAGCTGGGCTTGGGCACATGACCACAGAAATGTGAGGAAAAACAAAAAATTCCAAGGAATCCCCAAATAACTCCCAGCTGGAGCAGCTTTTGGGGTTGGGAACATTCAAGGCAGCACCTGACAAAGCAAATTCATTTAAGAGCAGCATTTTGGGTGGCCTGAAGCATCTTGGAGCTCCAGGACACCAAAATGGAGAGGGCAACACCAGGTCTAGAGGGAAAATAGGTGAAAAATGTGGAAAACTGATGATAAAGCAACAAATATCCTCTTCTCAGGAGAACCTCAGTCCCCACAAAGAACCATCATTCGGGACAAATAGTTCAAAGTTTTTATTCATATAAAACTCATATTAAGAACATAAAAGATTCTTAAAAACAAAACCAAAAAACAACCCCCAAAAAACAAGCCTCTTGCAATTATTTACAGCAGTATTGCACAAGTAAAGTGGCAATTACCCTGTCCAAAATTCATCAGTGCAAAACACAAGGAAGGCAGGGAAATTGCAGTCAAAAATGCTACATTAGCTGGGTCCTGCGACACGATTTAGTGATTCACGCAATCCCATGGGATTGCTGCTCAAGGAAAACCTGGCTGGAGCAATCCCGGGGGGTGGAGGAACTGAATTCCAAATTCCCACTGAATTTCACTAATGCTGAAGTCTTTGATGTGCCTAAATCACTCCTGGGAAGTGGAGACTTAGGCACTTGGAGAAAAATAAGATTAAAATCTTGTTATCCTCACCACGATGGCTTTGGAAGGGGATCCAACACTTCTGGCAGGGAGGAAACCGAATCTTCACAGGAACTTAAATAAGCAGGAAATAAATATACAACATTTCTACAAGTTACAGCATTAAACAGTAGAGCAGTAGAGTGCATTAATTACACAGGGGAAAAAAAAAAAAAAGAAAAAAAAAAGGACCTACAGTATTTACCAATTCCACTCTAAAAAAGTGTAGGAAAAAAACAGGAAATTTTTTTAAAAATATTTTTTAGGGTTTTTTTTAAAGTATTTCTAAGCTGTACAAAACTTACAGGAGAGAAAGGAGAGGGAGTACATTGCACACAGATATTTGGCTCAGATGATGAAAATAATATGGTACTCTACTCTAATAAATATTTGAGTATTTACAGTTTGGTGCAAAAGAGGAGAAGCAAGCACAGGATCAATCTGGTTTCCAAGGAAAACTCTTCATCCTTTTGGTGCAACACAGAGCACAAGCTATGCTTAAACATGACCCAGAGCAGGCAGCCAACATGGCTGAAAGGAGCATAAACCCCTATTTAATATCATTTTTCTGTTTTGAGCCTTTTTTGGGGGCTTTTTCTCACTAAACCTCACAATGCCACAAGAATCCTACTTTTTGAGGGTTCCTTTTCCTATGATTTTTGGCTGGGAACTCCTGCTGTGGAGAAGGCCCTGGGAGACTTTGCCAATATCTTGCATTTTTTTTTTTTTCCTTAAAACAAATCTATTTTTTGTCTCCATGGGAGGACAGGGTAAAGTGCTCTTTGCTGATTCTTTGGTGTACTCCAAAGGACACATTCTGGGACGCCAAAGGTTGGGAGATCCCAAAGCACCATTTCATCCACCAGCAACGATGGAGCTCAACTGGGAGAAAAAAAAAATCTCACTGGGTCTCCCTCCCTCCACTGCCAAGTGTTATCCATTTAATTTTATTTTACCAGTGGAATTCCATGGGAAATCCCTGGTGGCAGCCTACAGTAGGGCTGGCTGGGGCAGAACAGCCATGGTGAGCCAAAGCCAGAGGCAAATCCCAAGGGGATGAGGAGCAGGATCTGCCCTGACCAAGCTCCCTCGTTATTTGAACTGCTCACTCTCCACCAGTGCAAAGGTTCCCCCACAAAGGGCTCTGAAATGCCCTTCTCAAAACACTCCCTGCTCCTGCAACTGCTGCTCACCTTGCACTTCCAAGGAAAAAAAGGGAATAAAATTGGCAACTGAGGTTAAAACTGCTTCTGTGATCCTCCAGGAGTAGGAGGGGAGGCCCTGCTCCGACCTGCCAGGCACAGCCATGCAGAGAGCTCCCACTGCTATCTGTCTATCATTAGTTAACACTAATCATCATCCATGGCACTCAGCAGCTTCTCCCAGTGGGAAGAACCGCTCCAAGTGGGGCTTGGGATGGGGTTTTCTTTCTTTTCTCTTCCTATGATGCTGGTGAGACTAGAAACAACCCCGTAGCTTTTGGGAAGCACCTGCACCAGCCTGAGGGAAGGGGGATGTTTGTGCATAGATATGGGATAGCCAGAGCAGCCAATCCCCCAAAAACATCTGCTGGGAAACAACAGGAACACCTGCCGATCCATGGCTCCAGGGGGGAAGGGGAAAGGCCCTGGGACACGGAGCACCTGGGAACTTCTCTGGGAGGACACAGAGCAGTCAGATCCCCTTGGAATGTCCTGGATAAATCCATTTTGGGCTGGCATCCTTCCATCTGCATCTGGGTGCTCATCCCCATCCAAACACGGAGAGGATCCCAGGAAAACACAATCTTGGAAACCTTTTTGGACAGCCACGACTCACAACAGGTCCTGCTGCCATCGCCTCTGGCTGCCGTGTTCCGAGAGCTGCTCCCTGCCTCCGGAATGGTTTATTGCTGGATTACTCAGTCCCCCACATCTGATAGCAGACACTACAGAAGCGTTTTCATACATTTTATAGAAAGAATTTCTTTAAAAAAAGGCAACCTGGTGGCTTGGGGTTTGGTTGGTTGGTTGTGATGGTTTGGATCCTGGAGCTCAACAGCGAAGTCTTGAAATTCAGAGTGGATCAAAAAAATAGAGATATCAAAACCCAAAAAAAAAAGTCAGCAGGAAATAGGCTGATTTGCATTATGCAAATGAAGTTGGATTTGGGGTAGCATTAAGTATTTACAGGTAAAAGAAGTGCTGATTAAATCCCTCTGCCCCTTTTCCAGCCTTTCTGGGGACAAATGCCCCAGAGGCAAAGGGAGAGGGGAGGAATCCGAGCCTCTGCAAGGCAAACTCCAAGGGCTCTGCCCATCAGCTGACTCAGGTTTCCCTGGTTCCTGCCATAGGGCTCATGCCACAGAATTCCAGCAACGATGACAAAACATGATTCTACATTTTCGCTGAGACGCTTTTGGGAAAAAGGCAAAAAAATGAATAAAAAGAGTGGAGAGAAACACTGAGTAAACACCACTCTGCCATAAAACGCCACGTGGAATGGGATGTCCACCCTCATCCTGCCACATGTCCTGGGGGAGAGGCAGGGTGGGAGCCCCACATCCATCCATGAGTCCATCCTTCCCAGGCTTTCCCAGCGAGGAATTCAGTCCTGGTGCCTCGGGATGCATCTGGCGCTCAGTGGAGCCTCCAGATGAGGCGAATGATGGAATGCAGCAGGCGCAGCAGGCGTAAGATCACGACCTGGGGATTTCCCACCTGGTGATCCAAGAAGCCCTGAAAGAGAGGGAGGGAAAAAAAAGAGAAAAACCAAACAAAGCGGTGAGTTTAATTCCCAGCATGAATCCCCCTATGCTATATAAACACCTGGAATTCCAGAGACACCAAGTGAAGTGTTTAACAATTTGCAGCCAGCAGAGCTTGGGGCTCATGACAGCAGTCAAGGCATGTCCCCTCTTCCAGGAAAAGCCTGGCACCCACAAGCTGTGCTGGGACAAGGAGTGGCTGGATGATGAATTGCCAGACTTCCTGATGTCTTGTCCGAGAAACGGTCCTGGGGGGAGGCCACACCCCTGGGGAACGTGACAGGGAACGCACCAGGACCGCGCCGCGGGACCCATCCAACAGCCCCGACCTGCCTGGCGAGTGCGGCTCTGGCACTGCTGCAGTTCCCCATTTCTAACCTCGGGATGAAAGGGCAAACCCCGGAGCCAGGTGGGGCTGGCACACGAGCCCTTCCACTCTGCCCTCCAGAGCCCAGACAGCCAGAATGCTTCCAGAAGGAAAAGGGATCTTTCCGCAAAGTGCCTCGGGGATGTTAATTAAACACTGGCTTAAATGCTCTGAAACCTCCCCAGTTTTGGGTGCAGGGAGTGAGAATTTGTCACATGCTGACTGCACCAGGTACAAAGTGTTTTTAGGGTCACGCATGACATCCCTTGCTCGTGTCACCTGAGCAGGCACGACGTGTCCTGTGCGTTCCACTCCTCACCCCAGGCCAGCCTTGGGTTGGAACTGCAGCCGTGGCACTGGGAACAGCCTCGTGCAAACCTGGGGGATGCTCCCTGCACCTCACCCTGCTGCTGCCAGGGAAACACCCCATTCCCATTAAATTCACCCCTTGATCCACCACAGGGTTATAGGGAGCAGCATCATGTGCCCAGAGATTTCCAGCACCAAAGGAGCCAGGATAACACTAGAAGGTCATTCCTGCTCCTCACAAATTACTCCAAATTTAAGGCACTGCTCTGGGAGGCAGGGAGGAGATGGGAGATGGGATGAGGGTGATCCAGCACTGAACGGGCTCCCCAGGGAATGGTCACAGCCTCAAGGCTGCCAGAATTCAAGAAATATGTGGACAATGCTCTCAGGCACAGGGTGGGATTGCTGGGGCTATGCAGGGCAAGGAGTTTGGAGCTCGATTATCCTTATGGGTCCCTTCCAGCTCAGGAGATTCCATGGCACTCTGCATTTCTTCCAGCTCCTCTGGATCTGCCTGCTGCTACCAGGTGCCTCCAGCTTCCTGGACAGTCTGATTCCTCCCTTTCATTCTCCCTTCATCCCAAAAAACAGCCACTTTGCAACACAAGGGATCAGCCTGGATGGGGGAGGTCTGAAGATGCGCATTTTGGATTCTGGATTTGGGATATCAGCTTATCACCATTTTGCTGCAGGTCAGGAATGCCAGGGCATTTGGAAAAAGTGAAGCAGGTGGAGATGATATGGAAAAATCAGGATCATAGCAACTTGACCCGTTTTGTGGAAAAGCCAACCCTAGGAGCAGTGAGGAAGCACTGCAGGAGCTATTTGGGAGCTGAAGAGGATGGATAAAGATCCAGCAGCAAGCATTCCATCCCCAGCACTGCTCCTGGCCCCTCTTCCCACAGCCGAGCCGAGTGGATGGAGCAGAATCCACAAGCAGGGACATGCAGCCGTTGGGAACACTCAGCAGCCGGGACACCGGCAAGCTCATCTTGCTTCACCCCCTGGGCTGGGCTGCCTTGGGTTTGGGCTTCTCTGTGGCATTACTGCATCGACTTGGGTTGCAACACACCAAGGTGAGCGAGTTCATGGGCTTATAAAAACCTCTTTCAAAACAGTCTTTGCAAAAGAAGTAAGTTCTAGGACCAAGTCTCTTTGCAGCAGCCAGGATTTGAGAGCTGGGCTGGGAATCCCACTGAATGTTTCCCTAAAACCAATGGTGCCGGGCAGTGCATCCCCCAAAACCCCCACACTTTTTCTGCCTCTTCCTTTTAAAAAGTTTCCTCATCACCAGCAGATCCAGGCCCAATCCAACACCTCTGCCCCTAAACCCTTGCGCAAACCTGGTGCCCTAAAGCTTCCAGTCCCAATTTCAAGGTTATTTTTAATTGATTTAAAGGTTATTTTTCATTGCTTTGAGGCCACAGCCGCTGATTTGCCTGGTCCAGGCCACCCCCCACCCGCGCAGTCTTTTCTCGTCTGAGTGAACGAAATGCTCACCACAGAGCTTCCAGAAATGATTCAGCCTTTCCCTTTGAGAGAAATGGAAGGTGAAGAGGGGAAAGTTACCCTGCGTGGACAATAGGAGGCATTGAACTCGTCCCCAATGCGCCGCAGCTCTTGCGCAATCCAGATTTCCGGCTGCACCTCTTCAGCCGGAGAGTGGGACTGCCATCGGGAAGCTGTGTGGGATGAAACAGGAGAGTTGGAAAAACAGGAAGAAGAACAAATTGTATAGAATTTATTACATAAAACTCTGTAGTAACCCATCAACTCTTGCCATCTTATTCCTACTTTTTATTGCTATTATATTTTATCTCTTTTAAATCCCAGAGGTGCATGTAGGGACTCGCTGCATACAATGAACAGGCTTGTATTCCTTGTTATTTCTGTATTACTATTACTGCTGTTAAGCTTTTATTTATTTATTGTAGGCTGTCCATGGGAGCATCTCCAAGCTTTGGTCCCTCTTAAACAGGGATAAGAGTCAAGATGCCACACTCCAATTTCCCTCCCTCGCCAAACCTCCTCTTCCCCCTTTTTTGCCTTCAGCAGTAATTCCTTCCCTAACCTTAAAAATCCTCTGCCTGGATGTTTTCATTCAATCTTCACATTTCTTCCCCAAATCATCCTCAAGTGCCCAAAAAGGAAAACCAATATGGGTTTGGCATAAAGAGGAGAAAGCCACAATTGGATTTATGTGTGGAGAAACCACATTTCCAGCAAATCCAAGTGCTGGTTTGAAAGAGAAAAGAAAGAGTTAATGTGTTTATTATTTAAGTCTCCACCTTAAAAAGTTATTAAACATGTGATAAATGCTCCAAATAGCCAGGGAAAAAAAAAGAAACAGGACCATGTATGGTACCAGCACCACCTCATACCCCTTCCTTAAAATTCAGGATCCAAGCAGGAACTGCTTAATGAATATTAAAAAAAACCCCAAAAAAAACCCAAACTAATTTAAATAAAACAACTCCATACAACAACAACAACAAAAAAAAAAAAATCAAAAAACTGCACAAAACAAAGCAGTGTTTTGGCACGACAGCTTCGACAGAATCACAAGGGAACAGGAATAGCTTCCAATCTTCCAAAGATTCAAAGGATTAGTAGAGCAGTTAGAAAAAAAAAAAAAAGAAAGAAATTAAATAAAAGCCTGGCTCCAAGCTGATTGGAAAATGCATTTCCGAGCCAAGGCAGCGCTGCTTGGCCGGAGGACGTGTTTTGTTTTCACGCTGTAGTAGCGCAGGAGCAGCGCTTCTCCCGCCGCAGAACGAACCACGCGCGGCGCTCGCGGTCCTCCCTCCGCCCCGGCTCCTCCGGAGCCAGACGGGATTCGGCCGGGGCGGAGCGACCTTCCCAAATCCCACGGCCGCCGTCAGCAGGGCCGGACCAGCCAGGGAAACAAAAACACGCGGCGGGCCGGGGCAGGAAGAGGCGAGGAGCGCCAGGGACGTGAGGAAAACCACGCGAGAGAGCAGCGCTGCTCCTGCTCCATCCTTTTCCCCCTGTGCCATCCTTCCTCCCGCCCCGGCATCGCGCCCGCGGGGCTCCCCGCCCGAGAGACTCGGGCTGGGCTCGGTGGCTGAGAGCGAAATCGGGCTGAGGTTTTCAGAAAGGACTTTCTGCGGCGCTGCCGAGCGGCGGCGGCGAAAGGGGCCAGTCATAACTGGTCCCCAAACCAGTCACAGGCTCTTTCGGGGCGGGGGGACACAGTCATAGCGCGAGCCAGCGCCCGCCACCGAGGGCGACACGTCTGGCCCGGGCACGGCGACAATCCGCGGGCACCGGCACCGCCGAGAAGCCACGTCTGGCTCCAGGGATGCTCCAGGATGGAACTGATGCTGTTCCGGCTCGGAAGGGCAAAGAAACCAACCCCAAATGGCAACGTCAGCTCCTGGGTGAGGTATCCAACCCCCCCATTGGGAAACCTGGGAGAGCCGGGAGGAAACAGCAACTATTCCAAAACGAGAGCCGAGAGCGTGAGGACATCACCAGCAGATTCCCAGCTCAAAGTTTTCCCTTTAAATCCAACTATTTGCACGTGGAGAATCTTCTTTGAGAGCAACAGGTTTAAACTGCTTCTCTGCTCATGGGAATACAAACCGGGATCAAACCACCACTGGGGGAATACCCATTTTCAGGGCACCTGCTCTAGCCACATTCCCAAAATCCGCATGCAAACAAACATGTTGCCTTCAGACCGAAAATCCAATGGAAGGAAAGGAAGGAGAGACACAAAATACCATGCACAGTCACCCAACCTCTCCAGAAAGACTGAGTTTGTTTCGGGTGACTTACACACCCAGCTGGGAATTCCCCATCCCTGCCAACCTCTTTCCCCAAAAGCAGGATCAAGCCTCTTCCTCTGGCACAACCAAATCAATTCACCCTTGCTCCTCTGCTTTCCATCCCCAAAAGCATCATCCTGGATATGCCAGGCTGGCACTGCAACCCTTGTTCCCTTCCATCCCAGAATGCCCCCTCACTGCTTTTGTCTCATTTCCCAAAAGAAACAGCTTTGGAAGCAGCTGGATGTGTCCCCCTGAACTGTCAGAAAGGCGGCACAGCCCAAACCATCACTTCCCAAAACCTCCACACCAACACTCTTTCTTCCATGACCCCAGGCATTCCCAAGGGCTGCCACCACCTTTATTTGCCCTCATTAAAACCTTTGGGGAAGGTTTTGTGAGATTTAAGAGAGGGACTTTTGAGGCAGAGCATGAGTTTGCCATGCTGGAGCAGCCTTGGAGCAGTTCCCCACTGCCCATGGGAGAGGCTGGGAGCATCCGTTGCTCCTCCTCGCAGGAAACGCCAGTTTATTTTAATAAAAATAATAATTATTATTATTGCTTATGCTTCCGAGAGAAACTCTCCACCTTGCATCTTCTGCTCACAATAGATAAAATCAAGTGGGTAAAAGCACAACAAAAATATCTCCTTTGCTTCCTTCCCAAGGGACTGACCCACTTCCATGTGGAAAACTTCATGGCACACATCCAGCTGAACACTGCCAAGGCACAGGGATAGAGGCGGAGGTGTGCAGGGCAAAGTCATGGATATTTCCCAAGGAGAGCAGCATGGGAAGTCACAGCCTGGGAGCTGCAGGCCTGGATGGGGATAAAACAGCTGTGTAGCTCCATGCTCCAAACTTAATCCATTCAGGAGTATCCAGGAGTCCCAGTTAAACAGTACTGAGGATTTTCCATTTGCTTATAGTTGTTTAGGATGATGCCCCTAGCAACACTAACAGAGCAAACGCTCCAATAAAACAGCTGATGAGAGCACAAAAATTTAGGGGAAAAAAAAAAATCTGAGAAACTTCAATTTCTTCCCAGATAAAAGAAACCCACACCTCGACTCTCCCAGCGAGGAATTCCAGGAGCATCCCTGCCTGGCTGTGCCAGGGCAAGGTTGTGAAACATGAATTAAGCTGTAATTACTGCAATAATGTCACAAAATCTTTCCTAAGGGCATGTTACAGCCGGGCTTCCACAGCCAGAGCCACAGCCCAAAACCAGGAGGGAGCAAAAACACTACCAACCAAAAAAGATGGTGTTTAGATCCCAGAAAGCTTGGAGCTGGTGTTTGTTATCCCCATGCCTCGCTCCTACCGTGCCCTGGTGGAAGCTAAAAGGTGGAAGTTTAAAGGTTTCCTCCAATTAAAGGAAATTCATCAGGAGAGGGGAATGCTGGACACGCAGGCAGCTCCCGAGGGCAGGTTTTCCCTGCTGGAGAGGCTTCACCTGGCACAGCCATTCATGAACATGCGCCCGCCCGCCTCCAGGCCGCTTCCCAGCGGGATTTCAGGATGCATGACCCCAGCACCTCCACCACCGATCGATGAGAGAGCCGGCAGCGACACACGAGCCAGCAGCCACTTGAGCTTGGCAGAACAGCCTTGGACAAGCGAGCCCTGAGTAGGAAGCTGGACTCAACAACTCTGTCCCCTCCTCCCCTGGCAGCAACTGACCGAGCCCGGAAAAGAATAAACATCATAGTAATAAAGAGGCTGGCGCTGGACGCGCGGGAGTTCCCCGGCGCTGTGCTTGCTCGGCGGGCCCGGCCAGCTTCCACAAATCCCAGAGCTCCGGGAGTCTCCAGCCCGCGGCTCGGATGCTCCCAAAATCCGTGGGTGGGATGCGGGGGTGCTGATGCAGGTGCCTCGCATGGCTACCTGCGTTTTCCACCATTCCAACGGGAGCCGAGGCAAAGAGCAGGACCCCTCATGCACCAACAAACCCCTGGGCACTGTGCGCTCACAGCTTTACACAGCCCTCCTCTACATTCGCACCTGTACACAAACCCCGGCACTTTACACGCCCCCACGAGAATCCGTGTTTTCCACCGTTCTGAGGAAAGCCAAGCCAGGTGAGCAGGGGAAGGTGAGGAAATCCAAGCCAGGTGAATGGTCTGAAAACCACTCCTGCACGTTCACCCTGCCCTTCAACTGCACGTTCGTTCACCCTCTGCACATCTCCCCCGGCGCCTCACTTTCACACCTTCACACACCCCCACAGGAACTCGCTTCTGAGGAAAGCCACGCCAGGTGAGGAGGGGGAAGCGAGGGCAGCCACGCCAGGTGAGGAGGGGGAAGCGAGGGCAGCCACGCCAGGTGAGGAGGGGGAAGCGAGGGCAGCCGAGCCTGGCGGGGAGGGGAGGCGAGGAGGAGGATGGGGAGCCGCAGAGCTTACCCATGGCGCTGAGGCAGTGGCTGAGCGCCTGGCAGGGCGGGCTGGGGGTCTGCGTGGCCTTGTCGCAGCCCAGGGGCGTGGGGCTGCGCTCGGCGTCGAAGGAGAAGTACCCGCTGGAGGAGCGCGGCAGAAGCGGCGACCTCCGCACGAAGATGAAGAGCGGCGAGCGGGTGGCGAAGGGGCCGGGGCTGGCGGGCGGGCCCCGCGCCGCGGCGCCCGCGGACACCGGGCCGGCCCCAGGCAGGGCGGCGGGAGCGCCGGGACGCAGCTGCGCGCCCGGGCCCGGCCCCTCCGCCGCCGGCAGCCGCCCGCCCTCGCCGTCGCGTCGCGCCTTCACCTCGGGGGGCTGCTTGGCCATCGGGGCTGCCTGCGGGGAGCGGAGCGCGGTGAGCGGCCGAGCGCGCCGAGGCCGGCCCGGCCCCCGCCCCCCGCCCCATTGTTCTGCCGAGCGCGCCCCAGCCCCAGCCCGGGCCCCCGCCCCGCGTCCCCGACCCCGCTCACGGTACTGCCGCCGCTGGAGCGGCCCCGGCCGCGGCTGCGCTCGGCTGTGCGCGGGAGCGGCCCCAGCCCCGCTCCGCCCGTGTTTACAGCCCGAGCACCGCCCCGGCCTCTCCCGGCCCGGCGCCGCCCCGGCCTCGGCGCCGCCCCGCGCCCGCCCCGGCCCCGGCCCCCTCCCCGCCCGCGGGGAGCGCCCGGCTCGGGCGCACGCAGGGAGCCGGCCCGGGCTGGCGAGCGCGGCCCGGGGCATGGCACCGCCTTGCGCACGCACACGTGCGCTGCCAGCCTCACACGCACACACACCGCCCGCACAAACGCGCCGTGCTCCGATACCTTTACCCTTCCCACCCTGCGCCACGCACTCACACCTTGCACACGCGATACACGCCCCACGGGGTTCACCCCTGCACACACCCCACGTACTGTGGGTGCTCCCCTTACCTGCACACCCCTTACACACCCCAGGCATGCCTTGTTGCACCCCCGAGTGCGCACACACCTCACACCCAGGTGCTTGCTCTTCACACACACCTTGCACGCACGCACACACACCTGCTACAGGGCATCTCCTGCACCCCACAGCCCATCCTGCTGCACCCCTTGCACACGTGTGTGCACGCACACCCAGCCCTGGTGCATCCCTGGAGCAGCAGCAGCATCTCCAGCCTGTGGAGTAACACAGCTATGGAGAGGAAGGGCCATGGAAGGGAAGGAAGACCGTGGAGAGGAAGAAGGACAATGGAGAGGTAGGAAGGACCATGGAGTGGAAGAAGCCTTATGGAGAGGAAGGACTTGGCCCATCTGCCACAGGGGCTGAGTGCTGCTGCTGGAGCAGATTCTGGGGTGGTCACAGGTCTCCCATACCACCCCAGTGTCCCTCACCTCAGCCAGGTCCCACACACTGCCGGAGCATCCCTGGCTGCTCCAGCTCTGTTCTCACTCCAATGGGAGGGGAAGGAAAAGTCTCTGCATGTGTTCGAGTGGGCAAAAATAATTAGGGAAATTTGTTAGGAAGACACATTAGGGAAAAATTTGAAGACAGGGACCAGCAGCAGAAAGGAAGGGCTCAAAAGGTCTGGCCTTTCCCCAACAGAAAAGTGAGGGAGAAGCAGCGCTGAAAATCAGGCTTGTTCCTCTTTTTCCAGCCCTCCAACAGCGGTACCCACAGCACAGCACTGGTGGGGCTCCACAAAACCCCGCTTCCTGCACACTTCCCTTGGATCCCGGAGCCATCCGAGGCTTTTCCCCTTCGCTGGGGCCTGCAGAGCATCCTGTGGTGGTGGGGCAGAGTGAGGGGGACACTCGGGGGCAGCTGGGCTGCCGGGACATTGGGCCAGCCAGCAGATGTTGAGTCTATTTTCTCCTCCTGGGTCGTTTTGGTTTTTGTGTGGGTGGCTCACGTGAGCAGAAAGGGGATGGGGAACAGGCTGGCCTTTCCAACACTCAGCCTTGAGCTGGCCCTTCTCCTCCTGTCCTCAGGATTCTGGAGAGCCAGGAAGGCACCAAGTGCATTTTCCCACCGTGAATCATGGCTCCAGCCTCATGGAAGAAATCTGTTTCGTCATTATCCTTGTTCCTCTTGTCATGAGCCGTCTCAGAGGAATTTGCACCAAAGCCGATCCCAAAGGTCCTTCATTTTTGGCACTGTGGGAACAGATTGAAGGAGGGAGAGTTGAAACCTGCCCCTCAACACTGCCTCAGGCCCTGCAGCATCCATCCCCAGCTCCCCAGGAATGCTGTTTAGGAATGCCTCATCCCAGCCCTCCTATACACCCACCAGCATCCATTTACAGGGAGCTTTCCCATGTCCCACATGGAAATGAGGAGGGAGAAAGGAGAGGGTTAGAGGAGGATGGAGGGGATCCTATGCTGTTGCAGCACTCCAGTTGTGGCATCTCCCACCCAGCCTTCCCTCTGTGCCATCACAGAATCACTTAGGTTGGAAATGCCCTCCCAGATCATGGAGCCCAGTCCAACCCCAGCAGGTTGTCCCTGCCACTGAGAAGTGGGCAGGGAGGAGGTTAGGGCAAAGAAGATGGGGCCTGGCTGGCAGGAACAGACTCTTCACAGTGCCATGAAAACCCCCAGGGAAAACCACCCCCAAGCCCTCCTCCCCGCCCAGCGGGTGCTCATCAAACCCCTTCTGATCTGAACAAAGCACCAACGGAAAAAAATGACACCTTGCTCTCCTTTTCCTCCAACCATCATGATAAATGTTACTTCACTCGTGCTGCCAATTAAAAACGAGTTTGAGCCTCAAGCACGAGACTGTCTGAGCCAGCCAGGCTTGGAGCCTGACCTTTACAATGCTCCCAATTTCAAACATCAACCCAAAATCAAATCCTTTGTCATCAGCATGGGGGTGCTTGAACAGCAAAGGTTGGATAGAGATAAGAACAGGTGGGTTTTGTTAGACAAATGTATATTTTAGTTTAAAAAACCCCTAAACCCTCTCTGGGGGATCTCCACAGATTCACAGTGGTGACAGTGACGTGGTGGTGAATCAAGCAACAAGAACGGTCCCATTGTGACCAGAGTAGTCCCTGGGCTGGGCAGGAGGTGGCACTTGGATTCCCTGCTGCCACCAGTGAATTTGGGACCTGCTAATGTATATTTAAAGTTATTTATTGTTCCTAATAAGGGAAGTGACATCACCACAGGTGACCCCAAGGAGGGGGACCAGGACTGCTGCTTCATTGGTGTGTGCCTGACTAATTACTGAGGTGGCTGCAGCTTTCAACAGCCTCACACTTTATCCTTGTTAATGCCTTCAAAGCCAAAATTAAGAATTGTGGCCAGGAATTGCAGGGAGGTGGCAGCAGAAAGGGTTTGACCGGGGCTGAGTGGTGATGAGCCACCACCAACAAGGGATGGAGGAGCTGGGAAGAGAGCCTCAGACCCCAGCAGGGGGGCCCAGCTTGATGGGAGAGGGTGAAAGATGAGTAAACCTGGGTTTTCTGTAGAAGAAAAGGCAGAGCCACCCACCCACACACCAGGAAATCTCTCCTCTCCCGTGTGGGTGGTGGAGGCCCCAAGATGAGTTATCTCTAAAGGGCAACTCTGGGGATGCCTCGAGATCTTTATGGGCATGGAGCCAGCACGTGCCAGTGAGGAAATACCACCCTGCCAGGTGGGCCCTGGGCTTCACTCTTGGGTTTTTTAACGGCTTGGTTTAAATCAAGTGCAACAGCAGAACCTCCACCCCACCTCATCAGTCCACTGATCCATTTTTACCCCTCGTGGGATGGTTTTAACCTTTCTCCTCCCTGCTTCTCATGGGATGATGGTGGGATGGGGACAGGAGCAGGTGGCTTGGACAGGGGGCTGTTTTTAAGGATGTTTAATGGAAAATAACACCATTTTTAAGGGCAAAGCTGCAGCTAAAAGCTCCATCGTGCTCATAATGCTCTGAAAAGTGGTCCTTCATATATCCCTCTGCATTATATGAGGAACTAAAAATATATAATTTACAATATAGATCTAAAAACTTAAGCCTGGCAGAGATTTTGGCCTGGCCAGAGAACAGCTGGCTCTGGCTCAGCTCATTAAAAAAATACAACTAAGGGGAGAAAGGGAACAAAAAAAGCCACCCCAGCATCCAATGTTTATGTTTCCACCAGCTCCAAGGTTGCTCCAGCTGATCTGCCTCCTGGTGCGACTCACTCCAAGTCAGGAACCAGCTGCTTCAGATCAAAGCCCAAGGCTTTTCCATGTGCCACAGGAAGCAGGCTGGAGGAATCCCAGAGGTTCTGCCATCAGGGCAGGGAGAGGAGCCCCAGCTGTAGGGAGAACAGCAGCCCCCTAGGAGAACCAACACATTCTAGCCCTTCCTGACCATCCCAGGCTGTACCAGGTGCCTAGGCTCACCATGGTTTCCTAGCTGAACAACTTACACCCATTGCCTCCCCAACCAATTAACAACTCAGTTTAGCGTATTTTTACCCCCAAAAAGCACAGAAAGATGTAAGCCATCATTGCTGAAGTCAACCTCAAACCAATTTATTATTTGAAACCAAATTATTAAAAAAATATTCCACATCCATAAAACCCCAAGTCCTTGGAAATTGTGCAGACTCATCCCTTATTTCCGTGAGCGTTTGTGCTCGATGAGCAACACAACAAGTCTGTTACGAAGGAACTTTATTTCCTTAGCGTAGGACCTGCAAAATAAATCCTTGAGCTTCTGGCACAGGATTCTGAGGGAAGGCAGGTTGTGGCAGCTGGGAATGTTCAGCAAGCTCTCAAAGAACTCTTTCCACAGCTCAGCATTGGCAAGCCTGCAAAAAGGGACAAAAAAGCATCAAAAAAAGCACTAAATTCAGCTGTTAAAATACTTGTTTTTACTCTGCTCCCAGTTAGGAAAACTGCGACAGAACCTGACCTGAGCAATGTGGTACCAACATGGATTTCTAGGAAATCTAGGCACAGATTTGGGGAATATTCTGGACACCCACCTCTTGAAGGTTCCCTCAGGCTTCCAGACGCCATTGTCATTCTTGAGGCGCATGTAGGTCCCAAAGAGCAGGCAGTACACGGTAGCTGCAATCCCAAAGTAGTCTGTCTAAACCAAAACCACACCAATTTTGTGTCAAAAAGAGCTGTCACCCAGAGCACTAAAAATGAGCTGAAAACACCCCATGGAGGGGGAGAGGCTCTGCAAGAGGCTCCAACTCTGGTAGAGTCCAGTTGTTCAGTGTGCCATAAGCTCTGAGATTCCAGGCCGTCCCTTACCTGGTAGTTCCATGGTTTGTTGGTCAGCATTTCCACACACTGGAACCCAGATGTTTCACACCTGGCAGTGAAGGCTGTTCCCTCGGGGAAGAGCTTCATGTCGATGCTTTGGCCCAGGTCAATGAGGGT